ACACTGTCCATTACACACGTCTCCTTTCATTTTTTTTTTGTCGTGCTTATGGAAAAAGATGATCGCAATTGTATTATTACCCGCTAAGCACACGCTCCTCGCACGCGGCATGTCCGATTGACGACAGTCGAGTCACGACGGTGTTTCACTTGCGTTCTCGGATTTGGACCGGATTTGCTTTCGACCGCCGTAGATCACTCTGAGAACGATCCGACTGCATCCCGTACTCGAGGCTAAAAGTGTAGAATTTTTTAACTGTACTTACGACTATATAACACCTAACCTGTATATTTTTACATATTGAATATAGGAAAGCGAGGGTTGACGGGAGGAGGCGCGGCTGAGAATCGAGTATAAAAAAGAAAAGAAAAAAGAAGAGCACACGCGAATAGCATAGGGACGAGTATATATACACGTACACGCATACACGAAATACTATAAACTTGATAAAAAACACGTAAAACACACACACACACACACACACACACACACACACACGACGCATATATCTGGGCGCGATACGACAAGTATCCTCGAGCCTTGAGGGAAAAAGATTATTATACAGATCGTAAGAAATGAGATCAGTTTTATTATTGATTTCGGCGTGGCATACAATAAAATTTTGTAATCGGCGGCCCCGGGTCTCGCGCTTTCGCGCTCGGGGCCCGAGAACGTTGCGTAGTATAATCAAACCCCGACATAACAATGCGAATTTTTCCTCGATCACAGACTCGGGGCGACTCTCGGGGGGCGGTCAGGATCGCCGAAAGCGTCAAACGAGCGCGATCGGACATACGAGAAATCAGCCCTCCTCTCCACGCGCGTGCCGATAGTCGAGAATTAACGAGAGGGATGGACGAGAGATCGTTTTTCGGTGATCCTGTGAACGCGCCACGATGCTCGCCGCAGTAAGTCGGAGGAAGATATCTGTACATAGAGAAACTACAACATAGCACAGGGTGTACGTACATGCCGGTGCACACGTAATGTCCTATATAGCGGGAGTACTAATTATGATAGTGTATGAAAATAATAAGACGTTCGCAGAGCAGGCCAGGCGCTTGATGATGGAGGTGCATCGCCCCTTTTCCCCTTCACGACGAATCTCGCCCTCGCAGGTACGACTCTCGGAACGAGAAAGAGTGTGTGAGAGAAAGAAAGAGAGAACGTGAGAACGAGAGAGAGAGACCGTGCCCCACGGCATAATAATTGAGATAATTTACGATCGCTACGCTCGCACCTTCAAATCGGATGATAAGTCAGACCAAAACGCCTAAAGCGGCGTAAGGAAAAAGATAAAAGAAAGAAGGTGAGGAAAAAGTAGCGAAAACGCATCTGGGCATCTGCTCTTCTTTTCCAAATTAAATCCAAGTTGAGCTTCTTATTCCTGTTATTTAAGAATGATTCTCGCCGATGATGATGATGCAGGGAATGTGCATTAATAGCTTAATTGACCTAATCAAAAATATAGTTTTATTTTATTTTATTAATAATAAAAAATACACAGAAATTAGGCTCAAATAATTAAATTAAAATTGGAAACGGGTAATTCAAAGCCGACACAACTTGTTATTGTATATATAAGCAAATATTAATAAACAAAATTTAAATAATTCCAAATGTAAGACCGAAACGTTTGCGATTGTTTTAATTTTGTTTATTAATGTATGCTTATATATTAATAACACTAACAACCTGTGTCGACTCTGAATTGTTGCATTACCCATTTTCAATTTTGATTTTATTTTATTATTTTGACAATGTTTACAACAAGACATAAAAATGCCTTATAAATTTTATATATGCAACTGTAGTTTAGTTTTCTATTTTAATGCAGTATATTCTAATGCAATATTCTTCTAATACTAAAACATGGGATATGTTAAAAAAAAGAGTCTTTTAATTAGCAACACGAAACGAAGGACGCATTACAATAACTATTTATTACGTGCAAAACAGTATTAATATTTGATGATAATGCGTTATAAGCGAATATGCAAAATTTACGAGTTGATCGATCGAATAGACGAGATGGTTGATTTATTACTATTATTAATTAAGATTATTATTACTGTTTGATTATTATTGTATTATTATTATAATCACTATTATGCTATCGCTATTACCGCTACATTACAAATATAAACATTCTAGCGATTATTATAATCATTTTATGATGTATTGTAAAATCGGACGACTGGATCGGACGTGAAAAAAGATTAGGCGAGTGCGAAACTTCATGAGACACACGTGCGAAAAGGCGAGCAACTCGTTTTTGTAAGGCTTAATAATTCGATTCGGTTGCGAGCGTATGCCGAGAGGATAAACGATGCCATGTAGATCAAAAGTAATCGATAAAAAAAAAACGGTAGTTGCGCGAGATGCGACAGAGCGTTATTAGCATATCAGCGTGTTGAGCTTAGAGAGGCGCGCGGAACAATGAGACCACGCGTGATAATAATATTATCAGTAGTATGTGTGCGTTTGAGAGAGAAAACAAAAGAGAAGAAGACGCATTGTACGTACAATGGCTCGCGAGCGTTTCGGAGAGGCGAGGGATGTTGCACCGAAAAAATGCGTTCCTCTATCGATGTTGAAGACACGACGTCACCGACACTGCTGCAGGTTGCCGATTACTATTATCAGAAATATATATTGTACATTGCGATTGTATCGGATTATACCACCATGCTGTCCAATAGAAACGAACAATATACCGCTATCGTCTCTCTCTATCGGAGATTACGTTAATGCGACGTATTAGCGTTGAATTAGCAGTATTGCGCGTCTGTGCGCTCTTCACGAAGTTCACGTTGATCGAAGATCCCAAGCTACGTCGACCTGTGTAACATATGCTATTTGCGAAAACGAGCTCTAGAGAGCTAACTAAATGCAAGAGAACATATGCATACGATGATAAATGGGAATGAATTAACAAACGTTTGGACGTAGGTCGCGTATTACCGCATGATGGATGTCGCAGTGTCGGTGGCATCGAACGACGAGGGCGAAGTTGTAATTTTGTAGCGAGGTGTGAAAGGAACGCTTGTGTTCGACCGAAATCTCCGAAGCTTCGCCGAAGCTTTCAATGGCAGAATTTTTCGTCACGCGAACGAAATTGCAATAGGGATGCGTGTAATGTTTCCAGTGCGTACACTAAGAGGCGCGAATTAAAGAGTCGCGATGGATTATTCACCGCGCAGCGAACGTCGAGAAATTCTGCTGATGCCTATAGAATAAATAGTTATTTATAAAGTCTCTACCGAGGGCGAGAAATAAAGCACGAGAGGAGTAACAAGGGACGAAGGCGCGAGGGGCGCGATGCAGGAGTGGGAGTAGCGTGCGAACGGAAGAGATGCCATTTTGAATTATTATTTTCATAAGGAACGTGTAATATAAAATATAATATATATAATATATATAAATATATATATCGACATGGACGAATTAACAACATCATCGGGACTTATGATCGCGACGATGATGATGGTTAATATTATTATTATTGCTATTATTATGGTTATTGATTATGATTATTATGGAATGACGATTATTATTATAATGAGAAAAAGAAGTTAATGCATTATATAAAAAAAAAATAAAAGTAATTACACTTAACACTTACGTTAGGAAGCTAGATACATACATTTGATGCAAGCGAGAAAATGGAGGAACCCATGCATTCGACGAGAAGTCTGTAAGTGACATAGAAAAAAAAAAATAATTAACGTCGTACATTTCTATATCATTGTAGAACACGGGGACGTATATAAAGGACTAATATTTTTTAGCCAACGTCGCGGATACCTTGCATTTCGTCAAAAATCATGGGATACAAGATGGTCGAGTCATAGAGGAAAAAAACCCTTAAATAATATCGTATAAATTTTTCCTTCGTATATATTTCTGTTGAGATGATAAACTGATATTACATTAAATTGACGAGGAGGGATGACTAAGACGACGCCGCGTCGAATCTGAAACTTTTGTATCCATGGACGGAAAAGGGTCTCCCGACGTTTGCATTTACTACGCGCCACAGACGTGTTCCCGTATTCGAATGTAACTTTGACGATGATTTGTTTCTCCGTTCATTTATCTTATGTGAACGCCGAGCCGAAAGTTCTCTGTACGACGTACCTTATCCCACTTGACGCTCGCATACAGATTACATAAAACTAGCTATTACGGACATGGCCACTAGCAGAGAAGTGTACCATTCAAGATAGTTTATCATTAAAGAAACGGTAATCATCATAGATATATTAACGACATTATTTATATTATTACGCATATTATATATAAATAATTGATAACATACTAACCCCCTCTAGGGTGAAGTATTGTGAGAGGGGGGGGGAAGGGGGATGGGAAAGGGGAAAAACTACGAAAGGTTTGCGTCCACGTGGGCGTGACGGCGGCGGTGCGTCGTTTTTTTTCGGAATGGCGTCACCGATACGAGAGTGAAAAAAAAGATAATGAATAAACCGCCAATTACTTTAACTTCGACAGTACTATTATTTGTATATGCCGAACGATTATGCCGTTTTCAGCGCAACATATTTTGGCAATTCTCTTTGGTGGTATGGTTCATAGCGATCGCGTTACGGTGAGAAAGAGATAGAGCGAAAGCGAGAGAGAGAGTGAAAACGAGCGAGCGAACGAGCGAGCGAGAGAAAGATAGAGAGAGAGAGAGAGAGAGAGAGAGAGCGGAGAGAGAGAGAGAGAGAGCAAGAAAGAGGAAGAACGAAATATAGAGCGAAAGAGGACGAAGAGGCCGGAGAGAGGGAGAGAAAAAGAAATAAAAGAGTAAAACAAACGAACAAAATAAAAATCAGAAGTTTCTATACTTTTTACGGAGATTGTTATAGTCTAAGCGCACACTGATCAAGGCATTCGTCGCTCGGCAAAAAAACATAATATAATTATTAATATAAAATTTATAACAGAAATAAAAATAAAGGAAGTTAATAAATATGTACACTGTATAATAAACATTATTTCCTATTAATAATTCACGTCTTTTTATTTAATCGTCTTTCGTACCACAAATGAGAGAGAGTATCATATAACTTTTTAATCAATATACATATATAAAATATACTCTGCATGTTTGTTCCTTTATAAAATCTTTGTAAGACATCTTCTTTAATAAATAATAAATATAAATTTTATTAATATACATGTATATTAATACAATCGCTGACTATCTTTTCGACTATCAATAATTCAAAGCTTTTACTAATACAAACATTTTCAATAGTGAGAATTCTTAACTAATGGAATATAAAGAACAGAATCATTTTTCTATTAAATATTTACATATCTATTAGGTAAACATGGAATTATGCAACGACTCCAAATCCTTCTCTCTTTCTATCGCTCGTTTCTTCTCTTTCCTATACATTTCATAGTCTTCATCATCTGTTGGCAATTCGTATCGGCAGAGCGGGCATGAATTGGTCTGAAAATAAAGTAAAGTTGTTAAAATAGTATTCAACAAGTTCTTGCACATTTTCATTCTTATTAATAGTATTTTTTAAATAACATCCCGATGTTCCATCCCTTTATATTTGCTATATCCTCTACATTTGTTTAACCAACTTTACCTTTTCCAGCCATGGTACAATACACTCCTGATGAAACACATGATTACAAGGCATCGATTTCGCTTTACTGTCTGTCTCGAATTCCTTTAAGCAAACCGGGCACTGCTTGACTTCACCAGACTCGATCTTAATTTCTGGCAAATTTGCCACCGCATTCTTCGACGCTGGTGGTGGAAGTTCCGTGTCCTGGCCGATCAAGTCCCACATGCCAAAGTCTCGCAAGAATCGTGCCATTTGAATCAGATGATTCGGCGCTTCTCCGTCACCCAAAGGTGTCCAACCCATTTCGGTGAAATAATCGGACATGATCGTCGGATTTGTAACAAGAAACCCGCCTCACGGATAAAACGACGAAATCGATCACATACAACGTTCACTTTCTGTCGCGATGAATGATAATTTCACTTTTATCTTTAATATCGGCGATTAAATCATTCGCTTCATGAATGTCTTGCAATCTGTAGATATAGAACGATCACTGCAATTGTGCGCAACTGCGTGCAACAGTTATGCTTTTAAAAACCTCGAGTCATACTGAAAACAAGCAGTCACACTTTGGAGCACAGAACAGGAGGACCTTAGAAGGTATTCGCGCAACAGAACATCAGTGCTGCCGCAACTAGGTTGTACATTTGCTAGCGCAATATTAATTGTAAGTAATAAATAAACAATAAATCATTATTTTATATTTTAGATTCATGTATATTAAAGATATTTAATATATGCGTATTCGACTGCAATAAAAAGTAGATTAATCAGCTAGCAAGCACTTTTTCTTCTCATTCTTTTTGAGTTGCTTCGTTATAACCATAGTCTGATAAAGTAATTCTCCAAACAAGAATTTTTTTAACGTTACGAATCTATCATATACGTATATTGAGACGTATATTTAAACTATAATTTTATTTAACATTGATATTTTTTTTATTAATTTATTATATTTATATTCATCGTGATTTTGAATGTAATTAAATACGTTGGTTTTAAATGTATTTTAAAAATCCAAGACTAAACAAATGATTTCACATTATTACATCATGGAGATAATCTTGAAACCTGATTTATCAACATTTATTATATATTCAATATAATATCAAGTAATCGTTAAACTTGTCTCGACGTCTCGCCTGTTAGTATCATTTTACTGCGCTACGCATAGCCAGCTTTTTCACAAAGTATTCTGTTATAAGTGTATTATATTAACGTTTATACTGTGAATAATATTATTGGTAAGAAAATTTTCTCAATAATTACATATAAAATAATCATAAGTAATATACATTTAAAAAATACAAATTACAATTATGTTAAATTAATATCTTTTTTCTTCAAAACTATAAATTATTTTAAAAATAGATATTTTATTTTTTTTATATTAAAAGTATGTTATACATTGCATTTTTGTTAATCAATATATTTAAAACGTTTATAATTTATTACATTTTAAATGGATGTAGTTTTAATGAAATTTGTTTTTGCGGATTGGAATATAGTATTTTTGATATTTGATTATTGATCAGCGATATAAATTATTGTTATATAATATTTGTTGCATGTAGTATGTAGTATTGTTATTTTTATTTGCCCTATTTGTTAATTGTATAAATTATTGTTTTTCGCGAAAGAATATTTTATCATTATAAAAATAAATTAATAAATAATTTAATATTCAGTGCAAGTTTCGACAATTATTTGAAAATTATAAAAAATACAAAAATAGAATTATAATTATTAATAAAATTTAGAAATATTAATGTAATGTACGTGTATTTTTACAGAATTAATTATTAAAAATGTTTTGTAAGTATGTATGCATTTCAAATATGTAATTGTAGAACGTTGTTTTGTGTGATGAAATGATGTATAACTGATAACTGATAACTAATAAATATCGATTATAATGTTCTATTTAATAAAAGTTAGCTTACAAATGAGTATATTACTGCCGATTACAATATGTTTTAAACATTTTATTTGTGTTTCAATTTTATATAAAATTTTAATGTATTTTTATATATATTTAATATAAAGGAGAAATAAAATTTATGTAATTATATTATATATTAAACTTATGAATCAAAAGAAAAAGATATAACGTTGTTTAACAAATGCATAATAGTTATTCGAATACGCAGTAATTGAAATTCTATTTCAAACATTGATCGATATTACTAAATCGGCTTGGAATTAATGGTCTTCTGCTTACATTTCTAATATCAATCTGTTCAGTTAATTATTTCGTGTAAGAATTGATACAGTGCTTATCGTACCGTTTATCATTATCGCGATCGGATATTATTATTGACAAATCAGGATTTATTACTAATATTTAAGTTCGATCTAGTTTCTATAATGGTACACATATTTTATGGCACAGGAAAACCGCGTTTCGTGATAATGCGGTGTAACGCGGAAAAAAGTCTTATCTTTGTGTGGCTGCTGTATGTCCAGTCGATGATAGTGGCGCATCAAGTCGGGGATACTTGTTATCTGCCGAATAATTTAAGCGAAGAGATAGACTCTTATGCGTCGACGGTGCAGAGAATAATCTATGAAAGTATGCAGGGTTCCTTCAAAGAGACAACCTGGCAAGATTTGGCGACGTTCGTTGATAAATTTGGCCCGAGGTTTACCGGCACTCAAGCTCTCGAAGATTCTATCGATTATGTATTAAACAAATCGATCAGCCTAGGCCTAGATAATGTTCATGGTGAAGAGGCCACCGTACCACGTTGGGTCAGGTACGATTTTTAAATATACATTAAAATTAAATTATCGCAAGATAAAAAAACAACATGACAACTGTAATAACGAAACTTTAGAGGCTCGGAATCTGCGACTCTTTTGCAACCACGTCGGCAAAATCTAGCTTTATTGGGACTGGGTTACAGTGTCGGTACTCCAGAAGAAGGTATAACTGCTAACGCGGTTGTAGTAAATAGCTTCGCAGACCTTAAAAGAAAGGCGGAAGAAGTAAGTTTGAAATGAATAGAAAAATTATATCTATTACACAATATTCATTATTGTTCATAATTATAAAATAATTTTTATATTAGATTCCCGGGAAAATTGTCGTATATAATCAAAAGTTTGTCTCGTATGGAGAGACCGTGGAATATAGAAGCTCGGGAGCCTCGAGAGCCGCAGAATTTGGAGCAGTAGCCGCTTTGATTAGATCAGTAACGCCATTTTCATTGTACACCCCGCATACTGGTATGATGAGTTACGTAGAGAACGTTACTAAAATCCCAGCTGCTTGTATAACCGTCGAAGACGCGACTCTTTTAGGAAGAATGGCAGACCGAGGTAAGGAATAAGAAATATTTTTTGAGATTCTTCTAGATTAAATGGTATTACTCTTTTGTCTAGGTGAAACAATAGTGATAAATTTGAAAATGAAAGCAAAAAGATATCCCGATACCGTGTCGCGAAACGTTATAGCGGATATCACCGGTTCTAGCACTCCCGAAAAAGCAGTCGTTGTTTCTGGACATATAGATAGTTGGGATGTTGGACAAGGCGCATTGGATGATGGAGGTGGTATTTTCATATCCTGGAATGCATTAAAGTTACTGAAACACCTTGGCCTCCAGGCACGAAGAACGATAAGGTAGTTCTAAACATATCAAAAGAATGTATAATTTTTCATTGATTATTTATAAGAAATCAATTAATTCTCTATAAGTATTTTGTTACGCAGCAAATTATTTATATTGTAGAATGATAATGTGGACCGCCGAGGAACTTGGCCTTCTCGGAGCACAACAGTATATACAAAACCACACCACAGAGAATGGAAATATGCAATTCGTAATGGAATCTGATTTTGGCACTTTTGCACCCATGGGCCTCGAATTTACAGGAAACGAAATGGTCCAATGTATACTTCAAAGAATAATGCAGTTAGTATACCTATTATTATAATATTTTTATATATTTTTTTTTCGTTCAATTTGCATTTGTTGTTCCAAGAATTAATTTTTTATTTTCGATTTATTATATGATTCATATTGATAAAAATGTTTGAAATTTTTAATAAAATAAATGCTACTGATGTAATACATTGTTTTACAAAATAATATATAATATTTCTCTTATCTTTAGATTATTATCTCCGTTGGGTGATATGAAATTGAAGAGCCCATCCACAGCACCTGACATACAGTTTTGGATTAAGGCTGGTGTACCAGGTGGCGGGCTTTGGAATCGAAATGAAAAATATTTCTACTATCACCATACGAATGCAGATACCATGCTGGCAGAAAATCCAAAAGCTCTGGATATGAATACAGCTTTATTCGCAGCTGTATCGTTCGTTTTAGCAGATATCAGCGCTGATCTGCCTCAACACAATTGCAGTAGCATATCGTGTTGATGATCTCGTATTAATCATCTTGATGCACATAATGGATGGATATATAAATCATCAAAATCGTGTATTCATATATTATTTTATTTCAAATATGCCTGTATACAATTGCAGCATATAAACAATTAGGCCCACTACAACGTCTAGTCTCTAACTCTTTAAAAGCATCGAAATGCACACGATCAAACGAGCTGAATTTTACGAATTTTTATTTTTCATTTGATCTCTTTGCCTGTTTAACGATTTTATTAAAAGATTATCTATTCAAAATATACTATACCGCAGCTACCTCGCAAATATTCTAAAAATTAATAAAACTTATATGTTCCACAAAGTTTAATTATCGGGACAAATATGCTTAACGGTTACAATTTGTAATAGAGCAATGTAAATTGTATTAAAAACATTTTTGATGCCAAATTACATAATAAGACATGCACATCCTATAGGTCGCAGAGGATTTAAAATTTAACAAATAAATTCAATGACTCATGATGACCTCATAGTGCCATCGATTATCTCATAATCCTTCACATATTAACCCCGACATTTAAACATCAACTTGAATTACTGGTTATTTTAAAATTCTTGTTCCTCATGTTGGTTCTATTGAATTATCAGTCTCAATCAAGTGTCAGTGGATTTTATAATATTTATATCAACGTATCTTCATCCTGATTTGGGAAAATCAGTAAGGAATGCTGAGAAGTCGTTCTCTGGCTTAATAGAGTGGTCTTCTCGCCTCCACTTCCATTAAACGAGCAATCCGGAGAACTGCCATCGAAGGCTATGTAATTGGTGGTTGTACTGCTTGTGGATGGCATGTCATTTAGATCCGGCGACGCCAAAGGCGGCGCCTGACCTGAACGAGCATTGGTACCATCCAGTGACACAATCTGCATACTGTACGACTCGCGATATCCGGAAGTGCTGGATGTGTCTTCGTCCCAAGATACATCTGACATCTGAGGATGTACGTGATGATGAAAATAGTGACAGTGATGATGCTGATGCGCCGCTCCGTGAAATTGTTGTTGGTCTGCGAGCACATTGGAGTTTTTGTCTCCGTCTGATCTGCGAACAGATTGACTTCGTCTGGAACGAATGGACGAGGAGTTAGACGGGATGTTAGACGATGGCAGGTCCATTGCCGATGCGGCCTGCATTGTCGTCTTCGGTTGACTCGTTGACTGTTCCGCGATAGTCGCGTCCGCCTGTTCCAATTTCTGTGTCGTCTGAAAGATAGGATTCTATGTTTGCAAGGTTACGTTTAGAATTTAATGTGCTATTAATAATCAGTTAAGTTCACAATTGAAAATAATAATACGACAACAATGCAGATTCTCGGAAAGCTAGAAAGTAGTATGCGAGAAATTCCGTAAGGATCGGTAACTCGAGAGCGGAAACATCGAAAGATAAATATGTACGTAAATGTTATCACCTCAATATGACTCTTTCGACTTTTTCTTAAGCGGAAAGTCTTCTTGCTTTGACCCATAGAACGTTGTAAGCGAGGCCTGTCGATACGTAATTCTCCGGAACTGTCCTCGGTCGGACTGCTTGGACTTAGCTGGCCCGTCACCGTCTCTCCTGGCGGGACAGTCGATGATCACACATGTCGCGTCTACCGTTTTATTCACGAATTCTACTCTACGATTCATCTACTCATGCTCCTCTTTCAGAATGTATACGATTCGAGATTGTTTTTAAGGTACACCAGAAATATTTTACACTCGTGTCTCGCGTTTCTACAACGTGGTATTATGTACAATATAGTACAAACATAAATTTTTCCGAAATTATTCCGTATTACTTTTGAATCTTCAAACATTTTCAGATGTGTGACTTTTGACAGAGAGTAGAGATTACATAGAAAATTATAAAATGCATTCGTTTTCAAGAATCAAGGAACGTTTCGATTACTTTGAATTTTATGATATTAGTGAGTATATGCCCATATTTGAAATTGAATGTTCCATGCTTGTAAAAAACACGGACAAGCATCAGAAAATTAGATACATCAATTGAAAAGTATTATTATACAAAAAACGTCTCATAAAGATTGAGATAGTGATGGCGAGATTTTACTGTGTACGTACAGAATATGATACCGGATGAAAATTACATATTAAAAAAATTAAAGGGTATTAATGTTTCTATAGAAAATATTATAGTATGTTATATGCATGCAAGATTGTATTTGCGAACAAAATAGATTTTTCTAATATTATTTCGAATAACGAAAGCGAATAGTATGAATATTGCATGGCGATAAAAATCAGACTACATTTGTATATTAGATACTGAAGAAATAAGTATTTCTATAAGAATAATTGCATAAAAAATTTCTTGCGAATTGACAGAATCAATTAAATGCAAAAAAAGGAAAAAAAGTGCTTGTCACTTAAGATTTAAATATCTCCTTTTCTAAATTATCGGATATACAGCTTCTATTTCCTGGCAAAACTTTTAATAATAAAAATAATGATAGTTCGTTATACATAAATGAAATATAGTGAAATGCGTAAGTTGTCTTTTTTAATAAATCAATTAAATTGAAGCGTTAGCTTAAAGATTATTAAACATTTTATCAAGTTTACATTATTACGGTTTTTACTTCATGCGTCATAGCCTAACTAAGTTTACGAAATATCTAAAGACTACAAATTTGTCTCTATTTGATTTAATTTCTAGATAATTTCATATCATATCCTTGATATGTCAATGATAAATAATTATTATATAATATGCAGTTATGTAAAATAAATAACTAATGCAACTAAGGTAAATGTAAAAAGCAAAAGAAATATTTTCTACAATCTTGCATTTTTCTTAAATTTCAGTCCAAAGCTGCCTGTTTTACAGGAACGCAAGAGGAGATTATAGTTTGTGCAATATATCGGTATTATTGTAGAAAGCAGATGAATTAAATAAATTTAATTAAAATCCATTTTGTAAAGTAATTATAATTTCAAATCAAAAATTATTTTTATTCAAATGATTTAATTGAAGCACTTAATTCTTAAGAACGATAAAGAAGAAAACTCAATTTTTTCAAATAAATTTCTGTAAATTTCTTCAATTCGTCTGTTTTCAGAAATATTTAAATACTGTACCATGTTGGAAGTGGGAGATGGACTTTTCCAAGGGATATATTATTAAGTATATCATGTTTAAGCTAAAGCGGGGATTGGAGGGGATTTACCTGATGAGTTTCTAAACTCTACAGAAGAGACAAAGCGCAGCTTTGGCGCCTTTTGGTGAGGTAAGATAGAATGAAGCTTAACATGGTTACGTTCATCGCTAGTAGAAGATGATTGGAATCTATCTGAAACATGCCACATCGAACGTCTAATATGAGGGGAGGGATAACAAGTAAGACAGACCATGGTATAGTAATCATCGATTCGTTGCTCACGATCGTACATCGTGTCGATGTTGCACACTTCGAGCCTGAGTCTCGGAAACATTGATCAAGTGTAATGTAAATACGATGTAACAAAGTGTAATGACTGAATGATTTTGTCGTCAAAAGTAAAATTATCCAAAGTTATTAAAACACCTCATTGCAAATTCGTGGAACAATTCGTGGAATTCTATAAGAAATTGTGAAATTGTAATGTACGTAATACGAATCTCTCTAAATGATTTGTATTATAACACTAAATTCTTGTAAATGTAATTTAAACTTGATAAAAATGGATGTGATATGATAAGACTTCCAATGAGATAAAGTATTATTATATAATATTAACATACGCACGACGTAGTTACGTGAATTCCTGTAAATATCTGTACGGCGTTGCTTCGATTAGAAGAGATGTGTTGGTATACGTTATGTTGTAGAAAGAGTAAGTAATAATTGAACAAAGAATTTTAAAATGAGAAATTTTAGTGACATTTAGATAATTAATTGAAGTTATTAATATCGAATACATCATCGCGCTAAAGAGACTGCTGAAATTGAAATTGAGTGTGTCGATAATTGTTGTCGTGAAACGTCAACTGTGAAAACAATTAATGACAGTTAATTTCGTGCTGTCGAGTAAAGGAGAAAGCGATAGAACATCGAAGCAACTACGTAATAGAGAGTGGCTACGCAATGATCAATAGGGTACCAACTGTTGGACATTACCATTGTCTAAATACTGCTATGTAATAAGTTCCTTATGATTCTGCGTATAAAACGTGATAAAGGAGACGATATCAATGTTCTAAGAGAAAATACCGTAAAATGAGATTGCGCTCTCTACAGTTTTTGTAGAACTCGTATTATATTTTTCTATTTTCAATTTTTGCGATTTTCTTTATTTTATTGATACATCATAATTGACAAACCTGCCTGATTTCATCAATCTTATTTTACGATAAAAGTGGCTTAAGGAGTGGCAACAAGAAGTGGGCGAAGACCGAGGTGGGCAACGGAAGAAACGGGACGAGCGATCGAGGTTTGATCAAAATTACGAAAAAGTGATAAGCGTGAGAGGGGCACACACCAGCAGGATATATGTTAGATCGTGTTAGAATTGATTGAGTTGTAGAATCGGTCTGCTTACCTCCGTTCCCTAGCTAGCAATGGAAGCAACGTAATGATCAATGTGTCAATAATACGACCAGGGAGAAAAAGAGAGAAAGAAAGAGAAAGAGAGAGGCGCGAACGACTAATGCCTTAAACGATTCCTTAAATGACATGTACGATTAATCGAGGAATCTTTTCCGGTATGGGAACGATATCGCTATCTG